GATGAGTTTTGTAACTAATTTACAAATAAATGCCTGTGTGTGTGTGTGTGTGTGTGTGTGTGTGTGTGAGAGAGAAAGAGAGAGAGAGAGAGAGAGAGAGAGAGAGAGAGAGAGAGAATGTGTGTTCATAAATATATGTGCATATATGTGTACATGAGTACGTGTGTATGTATGTGTGTGCATGTGTGTATATGTGTGTGTCCACACGAATGTGTGTAGTAGGAACACAAACATGGTAGAGCACCTTGAATGTGAAGCAGTGCATGAACTCTTAAAGATATTACTTCTTGGATTTTAGGTTTTTTTGTAGAGTTGACACTATTTCCAAACAAAAAGTTTCTTAAACCCGAGAAAATATCAAGAAACGAGATCAAAGGACCTAGGAGACTAAGAGAAAACTGACCAGAATAGCATAGTAAGAGGCCCTGGAGAAAACCGAAAATCTTAATAATGCGACAAATACTGAGGAAGTAGCATTTATAAGCAATTCCTGGAATAAATCTGAATCTGTGTCATAAGAGGGAACTGGTTTTGCTGACTGTGGCCAGCCAGGGTGACTGACATCAGCAGAATTCCAGTGACTATTACATCATAAGGAAGGCAGGAACTGCTTTGTGCAGTCAGGCAGAGAAACAAAGTAAATTGTCAGGCAAAGAAAACCATTTACAACTGGCCTCCTGACATTTATGCTTAGGGAAGAAAATGTAAATATGGCATTTTCTTCCTGGAAAAACTGATTTGCAACTATAAAGGGCCTCCGACAGTGTTATTAACACACTCAAAATATGGTTTCCACAAGCAGCTCCAAAGGAATCTTCCCTAAAATGGGATACAGGCCACCAAAATGACAAGTGGAAAGCTAATACAAAGCCCTCGGACATCAGCAAAACACGCTGACTTACACAGTGAGAGGAAAGCGCAGTCTCAACCCGAGGTAGATTTACTCTTGCTGTGGTGTTAAATGGCCCTGTTGTCAACTGCTTTCTGAATATCCATGTTTATACCTATAGACCCGGGCTGCTCTCAGCCTTCATCACAGAAGCTTCTTTTTGTAGAAGGCAGCAGCCAGTGCTGAGATGCAGAACTGGTCATCGGGCTGAGACTAAGTGACTGTGAGCGGTCAGCCTAAATGGGACACCTCACCAACCTCTGTGCCAAAGCTCATGGGACACTGAAGAAGAGGTGGAGAAACTGTGAGAGCTGGAGACTAGAGAGGGCTGCTGTGGAAGGCTGCCATCATGACACGGCGACTGCACTCCTGAATCGCAGTTGCTATGGTGACCTGCACAAGATCAAGTCAGCTAGAACTGTAGCTGGATTCTCCAGCCCTAACTGAGGAGCTCTGGGCAGTCCAGGGAGAATCACTCTTTTGGGGTGTATGGCCACTGATAGGTTGCTGCAGAGGATGGCCCTACACCCATGAACATATGGTCAACACTAGTTGGACTGAGTTTTTTTTATATAATTTTTAAAATTTGTATTTTATGTGTATGGATGTTTTGCCCGCATGTATATCTGTGCACCACTTGTGTGTCTGGTGCCCTCAAAAGACAGCAAAGGGAATCAGAACCCCTGGAATTAGAGTCATAAACAGTTGTGAGCTGCCATGTGGGAGCTGGGAATCAAACCTGGGTCTCCAGCCCCTTAGCAGCTTATTTAGTAAAAAGAGAGGACATGAAGCTGGAAGAAATATGTGGGGCTGGGAGAGTAGGAAGTGGAGTTGAAGGGGGAAATTGAGGTATATATGCTCATATTTCATTGTATCCACACATGAATTTGCAAAGAAAAATTTTTAGAAAAGAAATTACTATTACTATTACTATTTATATCATCCCTGACAACAAAGATACAATGGATTTATAAGAAAAGGAGAAAGAGTATGATGTACATAGCTAAAGAATTCATTGTTGTTTTTGTCATATTGGTATTTTATCTTGACTGTTATGTGCATAAATTGGGGGATAATACAATGAGTAATGGTGTCATATTTTGACTTCTTGTCGAGGAGCACCAGAATCCTCAGTAAGGAAAAAAGAAAATACAAGTGAAAGTAGAAGACATGAAGCAAAAACCCCATGGAATTTGAATGAGAGATAACAGAATGAACTAATATATGGGACTTTATATATGGGCTTTGTGTGTGTGTGTGTGTGTGTGTGTGTGTGTGTGTGTGTGTGTGTGTGTGTGTGTATGCCTATGTAAATGTACATGTATATTCTAGCAATGCTCATAGAAAAGGCCTAGAATAAAAGGCAAATCCACTAGCAATATGGAACCTGGGCATCCATACTGGGGTCTTGACATACTATTTCCATCCCTGGGACACTGGGATGCTGAGCTTGTTAGAGAAAATTCTGACTCCAGGACCGAAGAGTAAGTGTGAAGGAGCTGAGCTTGTTCTGTTCTGCCCAATGACAAAAGTGACAGATTTTGAAAGGCAGTGAAATATCTTCACACATCTTCTACAGTGGAGGCCAGCCATCACCACACGTCATGGAGAAGGAGCTTATTTCTCAGCCCCGTTCCATCAGGGAGAGCACTATGACTGCTTGGAGGAGGACTGAGACAGACATCAGTTCCAGCAGCGCTTCCCAGGCCTCGGAGCTTTCACATGCTTGGCGTCTCTGTTTTTTTCTGGAACCCAGCTCCTGTGGAAAGCATGTGGATCTGGTTCAGTGTCAGGCTCAGCGGAGCTCTTAGCCAGTAGACGGCATCTTCTGCCAGCTGTCAGTGAGTGATCGTCTAAGCAAGCTGAGCCTTGAGATGACCATGGCCTCAACTAGCTACTGACTGCAGAGTATCAAACACCTTGTGGCAAGTGAAAAATGACTCCAGAGATCCCATCTCCTAGGCCCCGAACCTGTGGCTCGGTTAAACAGCAAATGACATCAAGATTACCAGTCATTCGACCTTAAAGTAGGTGCTGGGCCACACTAGTATGAGTTCATAGCCATTGCAAGACTCCTTACTAGTGGTAGAGAGGTAGGAGAGGCATGTAAAATATGCAGTGTGGGACAAACTACACCTGTCACCTCCTGTTTGAAGACAACTGAAGGGGACCCAAGCCAAGGATGATGGGCAGGCTCTAGAAGCGCAAAAAGAGATTCTGCGCTCGAGCCCCAGAGAGCAGCGTTGCTCTGCTCACAGCTTGATTTTAGATTACAGATCCAATTCTGATTTCAGATATCCAAAACTATGACTACACTGAACGGCATGAGCCTCTAACTTTACGGTAACTTGCTATAGAGTGATAAGGGATTAATACAGACTCTGGAGTCTGTAACAAATCAAACCAGTGGGGCGATGGAAGATAAAAATCAACGAGTTTGTACGGAGCAGTAGAAACTGGAAGAGCACAGGGTATGGAGTCTGTCAGATTGTTTAGTCAGACCTACTGAGACACTGGTCAAGAAGGGGATAATTGGAACAGGAAAAAGAATGACTCTGATAGATTATAAGGCTGAACACATTAAAATCCATGACCAGAAAGATACAATAAAATCAATCATCTTTGGAGGTTGTCAGAAAACCAATTCACTATTTTAAAAAATTATTAAGAAGCAAACAGTTTGGCTTTTTCTCTTACACCACTAAATACCAGGAGAAGAAAAAAAGCCCTTTTCTTTAGCTAAGGTTCTTAGCAATAAAGGAAGAAGGCTGGGTTATATCTGAGGATGTGCCCCCACTGTGTTTTGGGAGAAGGAAAGGATGTATTTCCTCTTACAACCAGTCCATCATCCAAGAACTCCAGGCAGGAGCCTGAAGCAGAAACCACAGAGGAATGCTGCCTGCTGGCTTGCTCCCTTCTAGCCTTCTTAGCTACCATTCTCACACAGACCAGGTCCACATATTATCTACAGTGGGCAGGGACCCTTCTACATCAACTACCAATCAATAAAATGCCCCCACAGACATACTCACAGGCAGATCTGATGGAAGCAACTTCTCAGTTTGAGGTTCTGTCTCGCCAGAGGTGTCTAGATTTGTGTTAGGTTGATAGAAACTAACCTCACAGTGTATTAATCTGCAGCTCTTAGTTAATGACTCTAAGAACAGAGAGTTAGCAGTAGGAAACATTTCCCAAAACATCCAAATGCTCAACCCACCAATGGATGGATGAGAATATTTCACCGGGGGAAGCAGTGTGGGAGGGACATAAAGAAGAATCAGAATCTTATCTGATAAAGCTAGACTCAACTAACAATCCATAGCAAATACAAAGGACAGAAAGTGGAGAGGAGTTGGGAGTGTGAAGGGCAAAGTCTGGTATATGAAACACTATATATAGATGCTCGTCTTCAATAAATAGATTGCAAGGGATGAAGAAGAAAAGAGGGTAAAGGCTGTACATTAAAAGACACCCCCAAAACCAATTAAAAGTAAACCTGGAAGGTTTAAGAATGACCCCAGAGGTGACAACCATAAAGAGCAATAGACCAAAGGGCACAGTCCTGACATAGTCCCACATGTAGAGCTGGATAGGAATGGGGGAGTTGGCCAAGGAAACTGAGATGCAGCCAAAGGAGCAGGCAGTAAATCAGAAGGAGTACAGAAACCAAAAGAATGTGTTCCAAGGTGGGGCTGCTGTCGCCTGGACCAAAAGCTGCTACCAAGTCAGTGGGACAGAGATTAAAGACCATCATTTGCCAGCATGGAGCTCATTGGTGATCTTGCTAAGAACAGTACGAGAACAGGACAAGGCTGAATCCGAATGAGAGAGAGAGAGAGAGAGAGTGCAATGGGAAGACAGGAGAGACCTTGTCTACTGGCAACTCTTTAAAGATGTTCTTTTGAGAAGAGGCAAGGAACAGCTGGGTCATTAGAAGACAACATGGGGTTGACAGACACTTATTCTAATGTTGGAATGTATTCCACCATATTTGTGTATTCAAGGAAGGCTTAAAGATGGAAGAAAGAAAATAAGTATCAACAACAAAGTTCTTGCAGTGTTGAGAAGGAAGGGAACCCAAAACTCACAGGAGAGCAACTCCCTCCACAAGCGGAAGTAAAAGGGGAGCCTAGACTGTGGGTTCCTGGGGGAAAGGGCTTCCTACAAGACAGACAACACAGTCTTCCTCCAGATGGAGGCAGCCCACTGCCTCAGAGACTGGGAGACGAATCAGATGGCGCCATTTAGTAGCAATGGGATTGTACTTCCTTTCTTTTCTTTTCTTTCTTTCTTTCTTTCTTTCTTTCTTTCTTTCTTTCTTTCTTTCTTTCTTTCTTTCAAGATTTATTTATTTTAAAGTAGGTGCGTGCGTGCGTGCGTGCGTGTGTGCGTGCGTGCGTGCGTGCGTGTGTGTGTGTGTGTGTGTGTGTGTGTGTGTGTGTGTTTATGCACCTGCTCATGTTCAGGCAGGAATTTGAGTATAGATGCCCACAGAGGCCAGAAGAGGACATCGTTAGATCTCCTGGAGCTGGAGCTACAGATAGTTATGAGCTGCCGGACATGGGTGCTGGGAACCAAACTCAGATCCTCTGCAAGAGCAGCACATGCTCTTAACTGCTGAGCCATCTCTCCAGCACAGTCTCATTTAGTTTTGGAACACTACCAAGAAATACATTTTTGTTATTGTTATAACCCACCACACACACACACACACACACACACACACACACACACACCACACAGATGCACACACAAACACACATGTATGAGTGCACATGAATATAATGCTTGGTGTTCTTGGTACATATTCCTTTTTTTCTTTTTCAAGCCATCCAGGAAAACTAGACCAGTAAGAACCAAAGTGTACCAGGGCACTGGACTGTGGAGCAAGAACATCAAGGGAATTCTATAATATGTCAAGAGAAGCAAGACTCCCAACAAGGGACAGATCTTCCTTACCTCAGAAATGTGTGCAGATTGGGGCTATTATACCAGACCTTAACTGAAAAAGCTACTGTTGATGCACATGTACATTAACAGATTATGCTTTTAATTATTTGCTTTCTTATATTCCTTTTTTATTTTTGTGGAATTTACTTGGCATGTAACTGTATGTAAAATATGCACATGGACCTGAAAATGATCAGAAATGTTCTGTAGCCACACCCCTGGTTAAACAATACAACACTTTCAGGAGCTTGTGGGTCTTCAATCCTGCCTGTCTCCCTGGCCACCCAAGGTAATCCTCGTCTTGATTTTTATTTTCTCGCTTTTCTCTACTGTTTTGCCTCCCATGTATCCATAAGCAATATAGATTATCTTGGCAGGTTTTTGTTCTTTAGAGAAATGAAATATGACACTTCACCCCTTTTGGTAAATATAATGTCCATATCGATAAAATCCCCCCATTTCCTTTGTGATATGTAATTCCATAAATGAATATACCATGATTTTTATGTCTGTCCAGTTTGCTACTGATGAAATTTAGTTTGTTTTTCTTTCTGAACCCCAGTTTCTGCCGCCCCCCACACTGACACAGTGGACTTTCAATAGCACACATCTACGAGGAGAGTTGCTGAATCAAAGGTATAAAAACCATGACCTCAGCAGGCAAGCTCTCCAGTCCACACTCACACAGGCTTCCTATCTTCTTTTCCTTTCTTTTTTGAGACAGTGTCTGATTTACTTCTATACACCAGAGACTAGCCTTGAACTTCTGATTCTCCTGCTTCTACCTGCCCCGTACTCCCATTACAGGTGTGTTCCACCGCAGAGCTGTTTTGTGCCCTTTTGGCTTTGGAGACATTGTATCATGTAGCCCAGGTTAGCCTCCACCTATATAGCTGAGGGTGACCCCAAATTCCTGAGTGTAGTGGGGGGTTGTTTGTGCCATGCCCTGAAGTACCACCCCTAGTAGCTGCTAGGTACTTGCTTCTTGGGCGTGGCCACCAAGGATCCTTAAGACCTGGGATGCTTGTACATGCTCTCTTGTCTTCCCTACTTTGTGGTCTTGGATGCTGATGCGGATCAAGGCAGAGTTCTCCAGAGAACCACGTTCCACCGTGCCCCACCCCTCCAGGATTCTGCAACCAACTCCTTTACTCTGGTTGTGAGTTAACCTCCAGATAAATTCCTTTGACTATCAAATAGACTCCAAAGATTTATCCCATAACCTGACCCTGCTGCTTCCCCTTTCCAAATGCTGGGATTACAGACCTATGCCACCACACGCGGTCATCCCATTTTCTTGTGGCTATTACATCCATTGGCAGTGCTGTTCATCTGGTGGGTGGGTACCAGTCTTTCACTGGGGGTCTGAATAAGCATTTTTATCTTTTTGTGTGTTCATTAATCATTTAGACTTCAGATTATTTTCTTATATTTTACTTAAAAATGGTCAGGACTCACTACATTCATTTAATGTCTCTGTTTGAAGACAACTGATAAATGTATATTATTTCATCTCTCTGATCTCATTTCTAGATTTTTTTTATATTTCTAGATCTTTAAAATGACAAGAACCATATCATAAGGCTGTAATGATGATCAAATATAATATGGAAAGCACATACTGATGCTAAGCATCCAGTTTATACTCAGTGATTAATAGCTACTATTAATACAGTTTTTTAGAAAATAAAGAAAATTGTTAGAGTCTGAATCTGGGCACAGCCAATGGCTAGACTGCTGCCCGGATCACAACTCGGTCCTCCTCACAACAACACCATTTGACATCTTCCTTTTTCTCAGAATGGCAGTGCTACATACTAAGAAGGCAGCACCAGCTAAGAGTCTTTAGTTAAGAGAGTTTAAAAAGAATAAATATTTCAGTAGTGTTTGAACGTGATCCCAGGACTCTGGTATGGCTGTCCACATCTGTAGGGATCCACAGGCTCAGTGGCATCCAAATCTTCCTGTTTTCTGTTACAGCAGGTTTCCATGGGTTTATAGTCAGAGCCCCATAAAATAACAGTTTTGACCCCTAGGAAAGTCCCCAGGACAAATCCATGCCCACCACTCTCCACCTCTTTTTAAGGTTCTCTCCACTTTTTGATGAGATATTTTAATGATGCAAAGAGCTGTAGCAGGGAGTCATTGGGATGAATTGTGGGATATGGATAAGATTTTTCCCCTATAGAACCTCTTATAAAGGCAATGTATCCTGACAGGCTGGGTTGATTTTTACTTACACTCATGATGCTTGGGGAGCTCATGAAGAGTACCAGTCAGACTGGTTTTTATTTCTTTTCTCTCCCTGCTTTTCTCTCTCTCTCTCCCCTCCCCTCCCTCCCCGGCTCTTCCCTCTCTTCCTCTTTTTTTCAACAGGGTCTCCTGTGTTACAGGCTGGCTGTAAACTCACTATCTAGCCAAGGATGACCTTGAACCGCTGATTCTCCTGCTTCCCATCTCCTGATGCTGGAATTACAGGTGTGTGCTACCACATCCAGTTTATAGGGTGCTGGAAGTCAGGGCTTCAGGCAGTATAGGCACGCTCTCTACTAACTGAGCCTCGTCCTCAGCCCTGGATTTTGTGGTTTCAGAGCATTCTCAAAACTACCTACAGACAACAACCCCATGGCTAGAGGTGGATGAGAAATACATGGGATGGCAATAAAGACAAAGAAAGCGGTTAGTCTTCTTACTACTACTAGCCACTGGAAGTTTCAACAACACATTTTACTTTTTAGAAATAGTCAAAAATTTATGGGTAAGTTTTATATGAAATACTTCTCTTCGATACTTTCTCTTCAAGAAAATCGTCTAGGTATTTCTTGGGTAATTTGGAACTTTTGATAATATTTCAAGTATCATAAAATTTCAGTTTTTCCTCCTAAACAACCACACAGTCATGTCTTCCCAGACAAAATCGGTATTCCCATGATGGAGACACCACTTCCACTGTCTTCTGCAGGAAAATTTGCAAACGGAGATTGTTCAGATGACTGGCTTGTAGTAAGCATGATGTACCAAGCTGGTTCCTAAATATAGAGAATGTTCAATCCCTTCCTTTACAATAAACCAAAAAACAATAGACATATTAGTGATAGTGAAGCTTCCATAATTAAAAGTCAAATGGTGAAATAACAAATTTCCAAAAAAAAAAGTGGAGCTATGAAACATATAATTCCTACAAATAGTTATTTTGAGCTCCCCTTTATAGGGAAAAAAACCCCCACCAAAATAACACCCTACCAAATGACAACATGTATACCAAAGTCCCATAGTTTTGGAGAGTTTGGTAATAGCACATGTTACTTAAAGAAAAATAGAATAGTGCATAAAACTTTGAAGAGTGAAAAAAGGCAAAGTTGTTTATAAATGCTATGATTTATGTCTGGTGGGTTTTAAACATTGAGACGTGGTGATAATCATTATCCATGTCCATATAATGTTTGTGCATGTCCTCTAGTCTACTGTTTGAATACAGTAGACTCTGTGTCCTTCCTTGGAGGTTTCTGGGGACTGATTTTTGGTAGCATCTCTTTGGCGTACAGTGTCTTATGGAGTCCAGCTTCTCGAAGCGCTAACTCAAATCGAAGTCTAGGATCGGAAGTTATCTGCAGATAAATAAACAACAACTCACTTAGCTGAAGTAAATTCTATCACTAATTTTCATATTTCCCCAAGTTGCATATTTTTAAGGTAGATGGTTAGATGACAATAAATCTTGCTAATTCTGCAACTGCAGAGTTTTTATTAAAAATATCCAAATGAGTTTTGATATTATCACTTTCTAGTGCATTACTTATTTCCAACATAGGCTACATCCAATATTATATACTACATTAATCAAATACAATATATTAAAATTATTAAATGATGAGATAAAAGAAACTTAGTTCAATACTATTATTATTTATTGCAGGCTAGAATCACATAAATAAAGCATTATAAAATAAATCTACTTTAATAAATAATATTAATCTTCAGAATATATTTTTAAGAAGCTATCATTAAAAAACATATTAAGTGTATGAGTGTGTGTCTGTATGCATGTATATGTACATATTGGTGTGTAGTGCTTATAGAGGCTGGAAGAGGGAGTGGTAATTTAGTTAATGAAACTGCCATAACCAAAAGTCAAATTGTAAAATAACAAGCAGAAAGAATGTGTAGCTATGGAATTTGAAATTATTTGAATATCGTGTTTATGGGGAAAACAACCTCCAAAATACAGCTTCCCAAGAGACAGCGTAGGTAATGAACACCCCATGATCCTGGTGAATTTGGCAATATTAACTCCTAGAACTAGATTTGTTCAGAGTTGTGAGTTGCTAGGTGGATGTTGGGAGCCAAACCCAGGCCCTTTGCAAGAGCCCCAAGTGCTCCAAACCACCAAGCCATCTCTCCAGCCCCCTGAGTATCTCCTAACAGCCACTCCAACTTCACTATCATTTAGAAATGTGTAAATTATGCATAAACACATGGTCACTCCTTGAAAAGGGGGATCTGAGGCTGAATTTCTGTTTCAAACAGAACTGGAAAAATGCCCCGCCCATCCCATGCTAATTAATAGCTTAACTTCTGTTCTCATTTATACTTGGTTGGACCATAGTTCTCTTCCTATGAATCTTAAATGTCATCTCATTCTTTGTCAGTATAAGAGGTGACCACATATGGATTTATATCCAATGAGGCATCTTACCTAAATTGGAAGTTCAATCTCCCCACAAAATGATAAGGTCATAAGCTTTTGAATATCGCCTCCACAGTGAGTTTTGGGTGAGTGGATGTGATAAGATGTGCACAGATGACCTGTGGCTGTGCCTCATGTGGTAAAACATGGAGGTGTGTGGAGTACTGCTTCCATGAGGATGGCCTCAGGTAAGAAACAACTGGACAACTTTGAAATCTGACTTAATCTTCTTTAAATTAGAGAGGGAGCAAGAGAGATCGCATCAGACAGGAAAGCCTCATATACACATGTGGATACAAAGCAGGTCAATTTTGGGACCAGGGGAGTTTGGACAGAATACTGTGCCACTGAGGAGCTCTGTCTAGAGAGGAGACTCAGCCTGGGGTGTGGATTTCAAAGTCTTGAAGTCTGTCCTAGCTGGAGCCGTGGTGTCTGTTTCTGCATTTAGTATGAAAGTGCAGCTACATAAGAAGATGGATCTGATCATCAAGTCAGAATAAACTGAGGTGGTAGGGAAAGAAGAGATGGAGGGAGGTGGCATCAAGAGTTTACTGTGACTGGCCAGACATGAAGTAAGAAGTACCTAAGTGTGTCCGGAAGCAGAGAAGAACCAACTATGAGAAATACTCCGAAAAGAAGGAATGGCAAGCAATCAGAAGCAGGCCTGGGGTAGTGATGGGTGGGAGGCCAGGAACAACCCAAAGGTCCTTGTCGGAGAGGCAAGTGTTTGAGCCTGGAACCCAGGCCTTTCCTCTTCGGTCCCCATTTATTCCCACTCACTTTCAAGGAGTCACATTCCCTCTGTGATCTGTGTGCCGCTGCCTCCCAAATTCTGTCCAAGATTCACCTTTTTCTTCAGCTCCAGGGCTGTGAAGCTTTAATATTGTTCATTATTCATCTGTTTTTAGTAAAAAGTAAATGAAGAGAGGAGGTTTCTCCTCCCCAGGGGCCAGTAATCAGTTTCTCAAAAGCATGCTTTATACCTCTTCACCCTAAAGAGGACATGAACAAAACTAATTCTTCCCAGGCCTGTTTTCCCTTCTGTATTCTTACATGGTTAACGGCAGATCCGCAAAATGGCAATAATCTGTTGAATTACTGCTGAATACCAGGCAATATTCTAGGCAGTTGATATTTATTATTTCTAATTCTCACAAGAACTTTGCAAGTAATTATTTTAAGGATGAAGAAAACAAACATAAAGATGTTAATAGCTTAGGCAAGTACACATAACCAATAAATCGAGGGTGTGGCTTTGAATCCCCAATGCCGGCTCTTCACGGTGGTACTTGTCTGGCTTGGAATCATCCTCACTTGCTTCATCCTTTCCTTCTCTCCAGTCAGAGCTGTTCCTGACTCTTTCGCCACCACATCCACCCCTCCACCCAACATCCATCAATTTCCCATTCAGGATACAAGGATAAAATACAAATGTCATTATTTAACTTAACCTGCTTTAAAATGTCATGTCTGCGCACAGGATCAAGGTCAGATGTCCGAGTAGAAAGGCTTATTGTGTGCCGTGGTGGGGCCCTAGCCCGTTTCTGCTCTCGGGTTTCAGCACTTAGCCTGTGCCCCTGGCCCCATTCAAGGAAGGGCCTCCTTTCCCTCTCCCTGGGGAACCCTGGTGGCTTGGTCCAGCTCCCTAGGACTTTACCTTCCTCTGAGTTTAGTCCACTTAGGGTGCAGTTGCCTCCCCACTTTGGGAGCTGGTTCTGGAGATATACCCACATGTTCTTATAAAGAACTCTCCCTATGCACACTAACATTTCCCCCCTTTAAATTGTTTTTGTTTGTTTGTTTGTTTGTTTTTCAAGACAGGATTTCTTTTGTGTAGCTTTGCGCCTTCCCTGGAACTCACTCTGTAGTCCAGGCTGGCCTCGAACTCACAGAGATCCACCTGCCTCTACCTCCCGAGTACTGGGATTAAAGGCTTGCGCCACCACCGCCCAACTTCCCCCTTTAAATTGTAAATCATCTTGAATGAATTTAGCAACTACTGCCCCAAATCTTCAAGTTTAGATCTCCATGTCTCTAACCTGCCAGGCAGAGTTGACCATTCTCTCTCCACATGCAGCACAGAACTGGCCTTACCCTTGTGTATTACTTCTGTATACGATACTCTCCTTGGCCTGGCCCCTCTCTTTCCTTCCTCTAGGAAGGAAGAGCCTGGCCCATTTGGGATACAGCCCAGAGCTCTATCAAGAATCTCACACAGAACCAGACTATAGCTATCAATCTCATAAACACCTGTTTGATTACCGGTGAACGAAATTTTCACCTTACTCTTCACTATCAAGTGTGCAGCACACAGGAGGGGCACTGTGGACTCATTTGGCAGCAGGTGTCTTGAGATGTGGGCTTTTTTCTCTCTAGGTCTGTAAAATGCATGACTTGTTTCTCCCTTAATTTTGGTGATACCCATTCATTCATATGCCCTCTTTTTGACCCTCCTTTTGCTAAAAGTCTTTTTGAATCTTCCTTCTCAGTTCCAGCCACAGCTAATGCAACGTCTAAGCTGCTACCAACAGCCTCATGATCCCTCAAGGGCATTTCCACAGAAGATGTTTTCTCCTTAGCTCTAGGAACATAACTTGGGACAGCTGTCTTCCATATTGCCTGTCAGTCTCATCCGTTGCTTATTTAATGGATTTATGTCATAAATTTAGATATAAATTCTTTTTTTTTTTTTTTTTTTGGTTTTTCGAGACAGGATTTCTCTGCGTAGCTTTGCGCCTTTCCTGGAGCTCACTTGGTAGCCCAGGCTGGCCTCGAACTCACAGAGATCCGCCTGGCTCTGCCTCCCGAGTGCTGGGATTAAAGGCGTGCGCCACCACCGCCCGGCGATAGATATAAATTATTAATACAACAATAGAGAAATCTTTGAACTGTAAAACAATATCAAGAACTATGGTAATAAATTGTGTACCCTAATAAAGCTTGCCTGAGGATCAGAGGACAGAGCCAGCCACTAGATTAGACAGAGGCCAGACAGTGGTGGCACATACTCTTAATCCTATCACTTGGGAGGCAGAGATCCATCCAGATCTCTGTGGGTTCAAGGCCATACTGGAAACCCAGCCAGGCAATAGTGGCACACAACTTTAATCCCAGTACTTGGAAACACACATGCCTTTAATCCCAGGAAGTGACGGCAGGGCAGAGAAAGGTATATAAGGCATGAGGAAACAGGAACTAAGGCAGTTCAGCTGAGACCCAAAAGGTGAGGACTCAGAGGATCTCAGTCTGAGGATTCATGGGAACAGGATCGGCTGAGGAGTTGGAGGGGTGAGGTTGGCTGTGGCTTGCTCTGTTTCTCTGATCTTTCAGCTTTCACCCCAATATCTGGCTCCAGGTGTTTTTTTTTTTTTATTAATAAGACCATTTAAGATTCGAACAACAAATAACCTTTTTTATATCAATGACTTTTGAATAAAACACTCTATTTTTTAGTAATAGACATGATTTTAAACTGTTTTGTTTTATGTCACAATTCTATAACATTTAGATTCATGCAGTAATTGTGTATTATCATTTAAAAGTAAAAATATGCTAATATATAGGGCATTTAAATATAAATCTTGAAAATAATTTGGAACTCAAAGCACACACTTCAGCAATTCTTCCCACTCTCTGCATGGATTTTGCACCAATCCTGCTCGTTCCCATCATTACCTGCTGCTCATTGTATGTGGTCAGTGTGAAGAGTGGCTTTTGCAGGATAAATTCATCTTCACGTTCAGTGCCTGTCCTAGCTTTCCATGCCATGGTATCTGACATCATTCTGACTGGATCAGATTGAACAACAACAGCAACCTGAGAGAAGAGAAAGCACAGCACTCAGAGGAGGGGACAAGTAAGGGCTTCTGGGCAGGATTGCAGGTTTGTGTAATGACTGCTAAAGAAGTGTTAATGAAATACAAAACTGTAGAGAAAAGAGCAAAGGAACGTTAAGTCCAGGCCAGTCCCAGAGACTTAGAAGGGAGCCAAAACGCATGCCAAACAAGGTATTTAAAGAGTATGATCATTTGCTAATGATTCAATAGTCACGATTGTGACTGATTTCAGATACAAATTTATCTGCTGATGAAAGTCAAATGGAATCCTACATAGAAAACCTGTGTATTCTGTCATTGAAAATGGCGCAGCTATTGAGCTATGGCTATAAGTACCAATGCCACGAGGCTTTCTGGTGAAGTCAATTGTGGCCTCATTACTGGACAAGCTGGGTGAACTTCCATCGGAGTAGGCAAGTGGACTCCATGGGACTATTAGAGACAATGAGTTACCTTTCTGTTGTAAAATTGCAGAGTGATTTTAACACAAAGTCATTGTCCTATGTAGTAATAACAGTTCTGACCCAAATCTTAATGAAAAGAAGCCACTAATATTGTCAATCATATGCACCATTACTAACACTGGCTTGTTAATTCTGCAAGTCAAGAATTCAGATGAAGTAAATGATATGTTAGTGCCATTTCAAAACTGTAATAAAATGATCAGAGTCAAATGTAATTTAATTATTATAGGTTTCCTAGCTCAAATGCCTTATACTACAACTCTAAACACTGATTACAAGTGATGGAAACAGAAAGCTTCTTCCTTCAAAGGACTACTGGATAGAAGGAATTCTACTCACATGGACTCTGTAGTTATCGAAGTTATGTTTATAACAAGAATGTATTCAGTAATTATGGCAGTAAGTCTGTCTTCAGGAAGCCACAGTACGTAATTCTTTGCTAATGATTGAATAATTTGTTTGTTTGTTTGTTTGTTTCAGATCTAGTACAAACAGAGTTTATCTTCTTATGCTTTGAATTCATCTCTACAGGTCATTTTATTGAAGAGGATGAGCACGTGAGAGCCGTCTCAGAGGAGTCCCAGTTGACACTTACTAGCTATCTGACCTCTCGATTTCCTCTTTTACCACATAGAGATATGAAAAAGACTTTCCTCACAGGGATGCTGAGGAGGTTAAGCCAAGTTTTACCCGAGAGCATTGGAACAGGGCTTTGCAGTCAGTAAGCACTCACAAATTTCATCTCCAATTGCTACAACCAACGGGGCAGGTACAGCCATTATTATTCCCATTTTCCAGAGGAGGAAGTGGAAGCAAGGCAGATTAAGTTTTTCCTGCCATTGAGTACTTAGCCAGCTGTCCCAGGGTTGAAGGAGACCCAAGGTCAAGTCTCATCCATGGCTCTGTAGGATCTCGACTCACTTAGAAAGGAAACTACACATTTACTTCCCATTGGTTAGGCTGTGCAATTATCAGGTCAAAGTTTAAAAAAATTACCAGAGGAACCAACTCACATTTCCCAGTCTCTTAAATCCCTGTGTTTGCCATGGACTGTCATCTACTCTTGCCTACTTTTATTAGGCAAGGCACTGGAGCCTTTTATTTCTATACAAAAGGGGTTTTTGTAAAGTGGTACTGAACAGGCTTGTTGACTGTGGGATTTTTCCAAGCAAAGGTTTCCACTCTAGAGTGGATTAGCTTGCTCTTCCACATTTTTGAGGACAGTCCTTTGCCTGGAAACTGAGTTTCACTGCTGCAAAAAGATACTGTTTGGTTAATGAACTAGAGGAGATATGGACACATTTAGATCTTGGGAGAGTTTTTTAAATGGTCCTGATAAACCTCTTTAAATATATTAAGAGGCTGGATCTGGTTCAACATAAACCTAACTGGCTCCTGGGAATGAAAACCGTGTCCCAGTTTGGAAAAGTTACATTTTATATAGCAGATGTCATGAAGTAAGTCCCAGTAATAATATCATTAGCACACTTAGAAACATTAAAAAAATTAAAATTTCCAAATTGAAAACACCTGTTTTCGAAGGGCTTCCAGCCGCCTCTCTCTCTCTTCTTCTTCCTGAACTTCTTGAAGGGCCATGTTTTTTCTCTCCATCAAACGCTTCTCCAGCAATTCTTGTCTGTATTTAACCCTTAGGAAAAGAGACATGGGACAGGTAGGTGTGCCCTAATTAACTCATCCAGTGCACAGACAGATAAGAGATCGGCGGGAGACATCTCGGGAGAGGACATCCCTCCCACCAGTTTTCACTCGTTTTGATTTCCCATATCTAAACAATAAGAGGCAATGCACAGTGATTCTAGTAACCAGAGAGATGCAGGAAAGCCTGGAGTGAAATCCAGTTGAGCTCTGTGTTCGCTGTCACCATTTTAAACTCTGACCCTGTCAGCTAACTGCCAAAGCCACAGCTCCAGTGCCCTGAGTAACCACCACCCAACCCTGAGTTATGACACAGCCTTCTGATGACAAGCTTGAACCCAACTTGAGTTATGGGTTGTATCCCTGACTAAATGAGCATACTTATAGAAAGCAGGGAAAAATAATTACTGTGACAATGTACTTGAATTATCTAGGTTATTATTACACTGCACTTCATATACAATGTGGCTCAGTGAAGTAAGTGGGCTTGTGGGCATGTGAAGAAACTTGAAAAATTGCACTCTGACATCTGTAGATGGCAGCAAAAACATGGCTTTTTCCCTTCAGCATCCGTCTTCCATCTCCTTTCAGATCATCATCAGCCGTGAAAACATAGCTCAGCGCCAGGAGCTCACCTAGTCCTCTCTGCTGCCTGTATTGGAGTGGCCTCGATTATTGCTGTCTTCTTGTCAAAGCGATTCTATTGACTTAGAGAGAGGAGATTCACCATTTCACAGAGCAGGCACCTGAGCTCTCAGGAGGACTGAGCCATGCTGGTCTTCTTCCAGTGACAGCTTACATCTAACTGGCTTTGTCGCATTAGTCACAAATGCCCTTTGCCCTTACTATACACAGCAGTATTTTCTGCGGTGGCATTTTCACTAGACCTTCCACGTCGTAGGTTCTGATATTCTCTGAGTGCTCACGAGGCAAAGGTCTTGTACTAAATGCTTTATGATTTCCTTTTTAGGCTTCACAACAATCACACGTAGGGGTATAATTTTGGATGTATAATTTTGTCTTTTAGAGATACAGAAATGGAGGCTCAGACAAATGGTGTAATTTGTCCAAAGTCTCATGCTCATTAAGTAGCAGAGCAGAAACATAACCCAGAATGACTGTTCTCAGCACCCAAGCTTAGCCTCCACCCTCCCACCCCCTGCAATTAACCTCTGCGCTGTCCTCCTCCCTAGATCTCTCCTCCTACACCAATTGCCCTAAACACCTCCTGTGCTAGACAGTGTGGGCATGCTGAGAAAAAGTCTTCCTTAGACGTTTCTAAGTTAACATAGAAACAAGACGGGCCTAAGAACCAAACACGGAGTTTACAGGGAGGTACAAATATGGTCCCCTGGAGTTGGAGAAAAGTGAGATGGCCACTTGTTGTGTTGTTGAGGTAGTGCTCAGATTGTAACAAAGGCTTCATGGAGGAGGAACATTTGAGCTGGGTCCTGAGGATGAGGACTTGGAAAGGCAAGGCGTGTAAGAGGAGAGGACGGGACAGTAAGTGTGAGGTTGGCCCTAAACCATGGGCACCTTTCTTGTCCTATCCCCGTCACCGAGAGCATGGGACAGAGTGAGTAAATGGTAGCAGGGAAGTACAGGGGAGCTGGGGTGGCCTGAGGCTGGCCGTCATACCGTCTCCTCAGATGCGCTCCTGCGAGAGATGCTCTTCACATTCTGCTGGCTCACAAAGGGCAAGAGGGGAGAAGCACGGGGAGAGGACAGAAGGGAAGCATGTGAACCAGAAAAGTCACAACAATGCCTGAGAAGGCAATCCTCGACTCCTTTGAAGGTCATGGCCACACTATCACGCTCTTCTGCATTAGCAGTCAGGACCAACCCAACCCTTTGGACTCAAGGGCCACAGATCAGCAGGCGCCCTCTCTCCCCTCGCCCCATGTCGGAAGCTGTATTTCCCATTCTCTCCATTTTCACGAAGGCATGACATGACACAACCTCCTTAATGAGGTTCTACTCAATTTAAGCGCTGAGTGCGAGCTAAGTGAACTTCTGTGAAGGTTCAATTAAAAGATACCCTGGGACTTGCCAATTACCATATGCTAATTCTCAGAACCTTGGAAAGTTTCTCCTCCTGTGGGATATATAGGTTGCTTTGTCTGCAACAAAGTTTTTGTCTGCTTTGTGGGGAAAGGAATAGTCGTTCCTGCCAGGGGAGCTTGACTAGTGAGGAAGAAACTGCAAATGAGACCATGGCATTTATTTATGCCTGTATCATGAACAAGGCTGGCTTACAGTTCATTCTGAGGCTCATTTTTCACTTGATAGATATTTATTGAGCTCACTGCCAGCCATGAATCAAATATCGCATTAGGCATATACAGTGACAAGTCAACATGGAGATATGCTCCTGTCTCCACACAGCCGTCACTCCGACAGAAGTTTCAAGACGGGGCAACTGTGAGATGGGGCTGGGAAGGGGCTGCTTTTAGGGGACACTGAGGCAGAAAGCCATTGGGGGAGGTATCTTTGCCAGACGTGGGAGCATGTCTGAGAAGTATTCTGAACCTGAGACTCAAAAGAGGAATCCCTTCCAGCCAAGGGGGAGAAAACAGAAAGAGTGGACTCTAAAGAAGGAAGTTATCATGTGGAAGTCCAGAGATGAGAAACCATGGTGGGTTTGAGGAACTGAAAAGAGATCCAGTGAGACAAAATACAAATACAGCAGGGTGAGGGATGACACGAACTCGGGCCGACGGGGTGACACAATCACACTGTGGGACTTTGTGGGCAGGCGACAGGAGAGACCTTGCTCAGAGAACTGGGCCAAGCAGAACCCTTGTCATGCAAGACAGATGACAAAGGGGCAAAGCAGAGCAAGCTAGCTCAAAGCTGGTAGTTTCTCATCCTATGAGAGGAAAACGAGATGCGGCAGAAGGTCAGAGAAGATACGGATTTGAGACCTGGAAGAAATAAAATAGAAGAGGAAGTATTGTTTTGAAAGGGCAAAGAAAGGAAGAAATTACAGTGTCACAATAAATAAGAGTCTTGCCCTGAGACTGGAAGCTTAAATGAAAAACAGGGATCAAGGTTCAGATCTAGCACAGAACTGGTTCTCGGACCAGGGCTAGAGAAGGATGGGGAAACTCTATCAGTAGCAGATTGGAACTAGAGTCACAGGGAAGATGGCCGCCCTCTGGGATAAGTGTAGGGGTTGGAGAGATGGCCTCGAATTTAAGAGCACTGGCTGCTCTTCCAGAGGTCCTGAGTCTAATCCCCAGCAACCACATGGTGGCTCACACCATTTATAATGGGATCTGATACCATCTTCTGGCATGCAGGTATACCTGCAGAACAATCATACATTAAAATATATATATGTAAATAAATAAAGTTAGAAAGAATTTTTTTTGAGACAGGGTTTCTCTTTTTAGCTTTGTAGCCTTTCCTGGAACTCACTCTGTAACCCAGGCTGGCCTTGAACTCACAGAGATCCTCCTGGCTCTGCCTCTGGAGTGCATAGAAAGAATTTAGAAAGAAAGAAAGAAAGAAAGAAAGAAAGAAAGAAAGAAAGAAAGAAAGAAAGAAAGAAAGAAAGGAAGGAAGGAAGGAAGGA